AAAAAAAAAAAAATAAAGATTTTATTTTTAAAAAGAAAGATTTTAGAATGTTGCTTTTTATAGAATGATATGTTTTTATTAAATATTTTCCTTATTCTCCATCCAGGTACTTATCCTGGATTACATGAGGGAAATTAAATAAAAATACTACAACCCTACTCCGAGCTACTCAATGAGGTGGTAGCTAGGTAAGAAAACAATCCTTTCCTTTTAGATGAAGTTGGAACTTAGGAGATAGTAATTTTTGGGAGAGACTTAAAGGAATTGATAATGGTGATAACAAAAATAATAGGAATGGCCAGCTTTGATGAACCTGGCACTGTGATAAGCACTTTATGCGGGTTGCCATCTTCTAACAACCATATGATGCTAGTACTCTGAGAAGTAGAGCAGTGTAGTAGGAGTAAAGAACATAGACTCTGGGGTCAGACCTCCTGCATTGACATCTAAGTTTTGCCAGTAACTGACTGCGTGGCCTTGAACAAGAAAACTCTGCCTCATCTATACAGATAGTCCTGATTTACAGAGTGGTTTGCCTTACAATTTTCAACATTACGATGGTGCAAAAGCCATATGTGTTAATTAGAAACTACACTAGAGATTCTGAATTTTGATCTTTTCGTGGCCTAGCGACACGTGGTATGATATGTTCTTATGATGCATGGCTGCAGCAACAAGCAACTCCTAGTCAGCCATGCAATCATGAAGGCAAACAACCAATACTGCATACTCTACTGTGTTTAATAAATTACGTGAGATATTCAAGTTTATAATAGGCATTGTGTTGGATGATTTTACCCAGCTCTAGGCTAATGTAAGTGTTCTGAGTGTGTTTAAGATAGACTAGGCTAAGCTATGATGTTTGGTAGGCTAAGTGTATTAAATGTGTATTTGACTTAAGGTATTTGGGATGTAGCCTCATCGTAAGTCAAGGAGCATCTATGTCTGTACCATGAGAATAATAATAATACCTGCCTCCTAAGATGGTGGTGATAGTTAAATGACATAAGCTATGTAAAGTGCTTAGCATAGTTCTTGGCACATAGAAAGTGCTTACCCAATGTCAGCTGTTATCGTAAAAATCAAAATAGTTGTTATTCTCATTTAAAGGTGGAGAAACAAAGGCTTAGAGGAATAAGACAAATAAACGAATTTGCCTAAGTCACACAGCCTATGAATGATGGAACCAGTTTGCACCCAGGCAGTCAAACTCCAGAGCTTTTGCACTTAACCACTGCATCACCTTAGTAGGTTGAGGGAAAGACTGGGCAAAAACTGCGTCTTGTCAAACTTGAGTATAGGGTAAAGGTCAGGTTTGAGTTCTGACTTAACGTTCATTGTGATCTTAAGCATCTTATCAATATAGCATGAGCCTTGATTATTCTCTGAATTGATTGTTCCCTAGATCCAAAGACATGAAAGATAGGTTAGTTATGTTCTTCTTCTGCAGAGGGGTTGATTGTTTCCTGGGCCAGGAAATGGAGCTAAGAAAACATTATATCTCAGTGCTTTTTAGACCAGAAATAGCGTGTCTAGCCTCTTGTTATCAATGCTTATTTTCTTTTTTATTTTTTTTGAGACGAGGTCTGGCTCTGTCACCGAGGCTAGAGTGCAGTGGCATGACCTTGGCTCACTGTAAGCTCCGCCTCTCTGGTTCAAGCAATTCTCCTGCCTCAGACTCCTGAGTAGTTGGGATTACAGGAGCGTGCCACCACGCCTGGCTAATTTTTGTATTTTTAGTAGAGACAGGGTTTCAATATGTTTGTCAGGCTGGTCTTGAACTCCTGACCTTGTGATCTGCTTGCCTCGGCCTCTCAGAGTGCTGGGATTACAGGCGTGAGCCACCACATCTGGCCTTGCTTGTTTATTTATTTTTTTTATTTTCCAAGCGATGCCCGCCGTGACGGGGGCCACAAACCTTTCCTTTATTGCAAACGTGTCCCAGTCCCAGGAGGCTTGGGAAGAGTCGGAACCAGGGGAACCCAGCGATGGGATTCCACCAAAAATGAACCGTCCTGCTGTCCTGCCAGGGCCCCCAACCACAGGATGTAGCCATGGGACAGCCATTGAGGGCCTGGGAGAATGGCGGCAGGGCAGTGAGGCCAGGACAGGGACGGTCTGGCCCAAGGCAGGAGCAGGGCTGGAACTCGTCCCCAACATCCCTGGACCCTAGCAGGTGCCCTGTATTGGAAGCAAGAGGGCTGGGGGGGGTAGATGGACAAGAGCCAGAGTGATCCTGCCCCCATCAGCATTGCCAGGCACTGGCCCAGTGGCCCCAGATCCTGGCAGCTGGCGTCTTCCACTGCCTTCCCCCTGCTGCTCGTGGAGACACTCAGTGCGCTGGGGAGGCCTCGGTGATGGCCCTCTCCACATACAAGTACCAGGGCTGGATGCACGTGTGCTGCATCAGGTCATCAAAGGCATCCAGCCCCTCCATCACTTGAAGCACGCCATATACCACCGGCCTCTGGCCCACCATGAAGGGCTGGTCCTTGCCCACAGCAGCCACCAACTTGTTGGCAGCCTCATAAAGGTCCTCATGCACATCATCCTGGAGGGTGGTACCTGCTCTTGAATCGCTTGCTGATGAGCTACATGGCCACCGCACCCATGTACTTGGCCATGGTGCCCTCCACGGCTCCAAACTTGCCCTCGAGGACAGTGTAGTCAAAGGATGCCAGAGCCTCAGTGGGCGTGTGGTACACGTTGGGGGAGATCAGGTGCACCAGCCAGTCGTCCACCCACTGCCGCCACTTCATCTCCTCCGTCCTGGCCCTCTTCTCGTCCAGCACGAGCCAGTACTTATTGCTGAACTTGGTCACCTCCTTGCCCTGGTCATTCACAGTCTTCATGGCTGGGTGGTAGGTGATGATCTCTTCCAGGGGCTGCCCTGACACCAGGTACGTCTTGAGGGCACTGATGATGACAGAGGAGTCGTTCAGTTGTTGCGAGTTTTCTCCCACTTGGGCCACCAGGATGGCCACCTTTCTGTAGGAGGAGAACTTGATCTCAGCCCTGCCCACAGGGTTGACCCTCCACCACCTGGTAGGGCAGGGTGTGGAAGTCGAGGAAGGCTCGAACCTTGCTGCAGCAGGGACACGTCTTGTACTGGTACAGGGTCAGTTGCAGGTGGCTGGACAGGGAGAGCTACTTGGCTAAGTGCTCGGCATGGAGGTCCTGGGCACGCAAGTGCCACCACGCAGTGTGGTACAGCCCTCGGGCTCCCCTTACAGGCGGTGGCCACGGAGCCCTGGCCGCCCGCTGCCCCGTGGAAGCCAGCCCAGTTCTGTATGGGGAGCAGCAGCTGGGGGCGGCTGCCCAGCCTCCTGGCCAAGGCGCACCCGCTAGGCCACAATGCCCACGCCACCCGAGCAGCCGGGGCCATGTTCGTTCCTGCTTGTTTATTTTTTTTACCTGACTAGTAATGATAAGAAGCAGAACAGTGTGCACATTGAGAATTTTCTTTTTCTCTTTTTTTTTTTTTGAGATGGAGTTTTAACTCTTGTTGTCCAGGCTGGAGTGCAATAGCACAATCTCGGCTCACCGCAACCTCCACCTCCCGGGTTCAGGTGATTCTCCTGCTTCAGCCCCCCGAGTAGCTGGGATAACAAGCATGTGGCATCATGCCAGCTAATTTTGTATTTTTAATAGAGATTGGGGTTCTCCATGTTGGTCAGGCTAGTCTCGAACTCCCGACCTCAGGTGATCCACCCAGTTTGGCCTGTACTGGGATTACAGGCGTGAGCCACTACACCCCACTACACATTGAGAATTTTCTACATGCTATGTACTTTATATGGATTATCTCATTTAATCCTTAAAAATAACCTAATCAGTGACTCTTAACCGTGTGTGTGTGTGGGGGGTGTGTGTGTGTGTTTGAGTTGGAGTCTTGCTCTGTTGCCCAGGTTGCAGTGCAGTGGCATGATCTCGGCTCACTGCAACCTGCACCTCCCGGGTTCAAGTGATTCTCTTGCCTCAGCCTCTGAGTAGCTGGGATTACGGGTGCATGCCACTACACCTGGCTAAGTCTTTATATTTTTAGTAGAGGCAGGGTTTCACCATGTTGGTCAGGCTGGTCTTGAACTCCTGACCTTGTGATCCGCCTGTCTTGGCCTCCCAAAGCGCTAGAATTATAGGCATGAGCCACCGCACCTGGCCTTGTTTTATAGAGTTGAAGAGCAGTTTTAGGAAGCTTGCTTCAAGTTGCACAGTTAATAAGTAGTAGAGCAGGGATTTAAAAAAGACAGTCCATCCTGAGTTCATGCTTGCCTTTTTTTTTTTTTTTTTTTTTTTTTTT